CTGCCAGAGCTCCAGGAGGGTTTGGCTGATCCCCTGGGGCACAGGGGGTGACTCTGGGGCTGGGCCTGTGCAGGGTGAGGAGTGGCTGATCCCCCGGGCTGTGTCTGTGTGCAGGCGCTGCGGGTGATGGGCCGGGTGATGCGGGAGTGCTGGCACGGCAGCGGCGCCGCCCGTCTCACCGCCCTGCGCGTCAAGAAGACCGTCTCGCAGCTCTGCCTGCAGGAGGACTCCAAAGCCTGACCGACCTCCCCGCGCCAGGAGACGGGAAGGAATTCTGCCGTTCACCTTTCCACGTGTGATAGTATTTTTATTTCTGGTCTACCTCAGATAAGGTGGTTCAGTGTTGCAGTGCCCGGAGCAGAGCGCTGACCTCGAGCGTCGTGTCCGGCCGTGGGAAGAGGCAGCTTGGGACTCGAGTTGGGTTTGGTACAGCAAGTCCATGACTCGCTTTGCTTTTGTGAGGAAATTGGACACCAGGCGAGTCACAGGAAGGAGGTTAAAGCATCACAACAGTGTAAAAATACCTTTTGCTGTTGCACTTTTCATCCTCGTCAGACCCCAAATGCCCTGGAAATGTCTGGTGTTGGTTAAAGCTGTTTGCAAAAAAAGCCTCATGTTCTGTCCTCAAACCAAGTAAAAGACCAAATTTAACCCAGCTTTTTACCTATTTTTATGCAAGAATCTGAAAAGGGGCTATCAGTAAAAGCAATTAAAAAAGATGGAAATTCCATGAAGCATGTACCTTGTGAACAAAACCATTGAGTCAGTTCCCTATTAATATTTATATTTAATGTCTTGGTTTCACATACAATATTATGGTTAGGGTTTGAGTTGTTTTATTCTGTTTGTTTGTTCGTTGAACAGATCGACCAAGGGATAACTTTTCTTTCTAACAGTTTTTAGAAGAAATAGTAGAGGCAATACTTTTCCATTAGTTACGTAGGGATAAAGTGGGAGAAATTCTACCTAAACTGAGAAAATATTTATTTTTAACAATATCTTGCTAATCACTGGTAACATTTTTTTAGTGCCTTTTGATGTGTTGGGGGAAGCTTTGACAAAAGCCAACACAGCCTTTTCAGAGGTTTCTTATGGAATTCTGTAACAGCACCAGGCTGGTGACGAGTATTATCATCTCTGCTCATGTTTCCATAATACCACAGCCATCAAAGCGAGGTGTTGTATCAGAATTCACTGATGTTCTGGCGTTTTGTGAACTGATGCTTCTGCCCCACTCCATGGCCCATGTATTTGAATATAGTATTCTAATATATTTAATAGCCAAAATTATACATTTCATAATCATATGGTTCTTTAAATCTTTAAATCCAGCTGGTCCATGGAAATTAAGCCCAAAGATGTTTCCAGAATAGCAGAGCTCTGAAAAAATCTTGTGTAGCCCAGGCAGCTCCATTGCAGTCAGTTGTTGGCTGATCACAGGTTGTCAGATCAATCTTTGGGGTAAAATCTCTTTAATTGGAACTGTTGCAGGGAAAAACGGGTTAAACTTTTACTGAGTGGGGTGGTCTGTAGTATCAGCACTCTGGGTTTCTTCCTGACACACATCTCCAGGAGCTGTGGATCCTTTCTGGCTGTTAATTGCCCGTAAATAGGCTCTGATGCAATTTACCTCTTTGCACAGGTGCTTGTGTTAAACAATGCAGGTCTTTCTGTGGTCTGGAGCTGAGCAGTGGAGAATATTTCCCTTAAATTGCTGGTAGATTTTTCTCCATTGTGGTTTCTGAGATGTAATCAAAGGTGTCTCAGAGATTTGGGCCAGATTGGATGGGGCTTGGAGCAACCTGGTCCGGTGGAAGGTGTCCCTGCCCATGGCAGGGAAGGGAACAAGATGGGCTTTAAGGTCCCTTCCAAGCCAAGCCATCCTGTGATTTAATTCTTATGTGCTTCAACTGCATGAACTACCCCGCAGAGCTCAGTAGATGTGACTTTCTAGGCTGTTTGAGGAGTAATTTTAGCATGATCCAAAGCATGATGCTGACTTGTGCATCAAAACATTTGCAAACCTAAGATCCAGCATTTGTTCTTGTAGTACATAAGTTGAAAAAAATTCCTTATCTTAGAAAGGAACAATCGAAGATACTGGTTTTTTTTTAAGTGGGAAAAGGGTTTCAGTTTTCAGTTGCCATTCTGGAGTCTCTGAAGGTTGTTGGTCAGCCCTATAATTTGAACAAGACCCTTTTGGGCCTGGCTGGGAGGTGTGGGTGGAGGATTCTCAGGCTCAACTCCCTTGCACGTGTCACAGCTCCAGCCCCAGGAATACTTTAACCCTTTCCCTGCACATATCTCGTGGTATCAGATATTATAGTCTGTTTGTCCTGGTGTTTCACCCAACTCAGTATTTTTGCACTGGTTTTCTTTTTTCTTTTGTTGTTGAGAGGCGAATGTGTATTTTGGTGAGCCAGAGTTAAAACATAACTGAACCAAGGGCTGATGATGTTGTATTGAGCTCTGAAATGTTTGCAAACTCTACATTCCTTTAAAAAACCCCAAAGAACCATTGTTTTAGTGGCCTTTCCCCTCCATGTGGATCTGTCCAGTTCTAGTTTAAGCACAGAGGTTATGCCAAGACACTTCTGTGCGTTTTAGGGAGGCTTAGGTTTCCTCAGAGGTTACAATGTTCCTGCTAATCTTCACTTAAAGCACAAGTTCTTAAACTCATAAAAATTTTCAAGGTCAAGGATGCTCAAACCCCATCACCACATTCAGCCTCTCCTAATTGATGCTTCTAGTTGGAAGGAGTTACTAATATTTTATAGTTTGCTTCTAATAACAACGTAAAGCTTAATGCAGGGATTATGGACTGAAAGGGAAAGTTAATTAATGTTTCCTCGAGCACCGAATTGTTTTGTGTTTCCTGAGCTGCTGCCCCCAGACACCCCTCGAGAAATTCAGGCTGTAATCTCCTCTGCACTTTGGTACTTTTATTATTTGCACTTAACCAGGGTCGTTCCCTCGTGTAACCCTATAATGAACCCTACAATATTTTAGTCGTTGCTATGTCACTTCTTTTCTTGGTAATAAATTCAGGAGTTATAGATGAATTTATTTAGAAATATGTCCAGTCCCTACAACAGGTCTGAACTTTGAGCAGGCCACGTTCTTGTCTCAGTCCCTGTCTGCCCAGAGCTCCTGTGCCACTGGTGGGCTGGGGGCTGTCCCCAGCAGGGGTGTCCTGGGGGCCGGAGGGTTCACAGGCACAGAGGAACAAGCTCATTTTTGTGTTCCTGAAGGTGATGGCCCAACCCCCCTGCTGTGGTTCCATGGGGGTCTGTGAGGCTGTCCTGGGGCTGTCCTTGGGGTGTCCTTGGGGAGTCCTCCCCCAGCAGCACCGGGAGCCAGTCCCCTGCCCTGCCCTGAGCTGTGTGTCTGTGATTCCAGGAGCATCCCCACGGGCTGTGGTGCCCCGATCCCCCGAAAGCTTTTAGGGACAGATGTCCAAGTTCTGCTCTAACAGGCAGAACAGTTTATGAATGTACAGGGAGTAAGACTGAGGTACAATATATTTCTGCAGAATATAAGAAATGTGCAATAAGTTGTAGCTTACACTGAATGTATTTTTGGATGAATGGACTAGAATTTTGAATGTAGCTGTGAAGTTTGTGTCTAAACCTGCTGCTGTTCTCAGTTCCAAAAGAGAAACGTGTCATATTTTGTCAATCTGCAAACCACTTCCTGAGTTGTCTGTTTTTAAAAGAAGCATTAATATTTTACCTGGAACATTGTAATATTTCTGAAATAAGTAGAGTGGTGCAGTGCTCAACCCTCGTCTTGTGAAATACGTGATCTGTGTACACTGCAGAGTTATTTTTAAAACTATTGCTAAAGTTATTGCTTGATATTGCAGCTGCCTGGATGTAAATAATGGTTTAGCTGTTGTATTTTGTACGCGGATTTTTCACCCCACATACTTTGGGGAAGACGTGGCTATTTTAATAAATTCAGTGTACTCTGCCCTGGTGTTCTTGTGAAGTGTAAAATTGTTTCTGTGAGGGCAGAAGGGCTGAGCCTGTTCCAGGTAACCTGTAGGTGTTGGAGGTTTCAAACTGAAGCAAAGCTCCTCTGCCAGCATGTGCCCCCAGCCCCTTTCCTGGCTGTGCTGGGCTGGAGGACGCTTCCCAGGGCTCCCAAGGTTCTGCAGGGACTGGGAATGGGCATGTTCCTGCCAGCCACTGCTTCCTCGACTTCCCATCACTGTTCCCGGACGATGTGTGGCAAAATGAGCAGTAAGTCCTTCCTGGAGGGGCATCCAACACCCCTCCCAGGCTGCTGTGCTGGTGGGCAGTGCTGGGGCAAGAGCTGTGCTCCTTCTGGCTCGTCCTGGTGTTTGTTGGACACGGTGACACACGAACATCCAGCTCCTGCTGCCAGCTGTGCTTGTTCTGGCCGAGGTGGGAACAGCTGCAGGCCCTGGTGCTGAGCTGGAGCACTCCCTGTGCCCTCCTGCTTCCCTGCCTGGGACACGGCCCATGCTGTCCCACACTGAGCAGCCTTCCCAGAGAAGGGCTGGTGGCTTGTACCCATAGGGACCTTCGCTCAGGGCTCTGCACCCACACCCGTGTGAGCTCTGACTGAGCTCCCTGTCATACAACACTCCCTGCATTTTGTTCTTCCAGCTATTGGTGTAAACCTGAGTGGGACCTGCTCACCCTGAGCACCTCAGTGCTAGTCTCTGTGCTTGAAAATGCCCCTGACATAGCCACAATCTGGGGGTTTAAATCAGGTTTTATTTGAATTTCAGGCATGTCAAAATGAAATCTGCCACGCTGTGACCCAAGAAACTTTTGTGGCTTTTGAAAGAAACTGTGGGCTTTTATTTTTTTTTCCTTAAAAAGACCACTGTATTATAGCAATTACTTGTGCATTCTTGCTCTTTGGTCCCAGTGTATCTCCAGGAAGGCGGCATTCCACAGTGCTGGCTGTGCAGGTTTGGCAGTCGGGGCTCTGGAGCGGATCCCGAGGGAACGGCAGCAGCCGGTGGCTCATCGGTGAACATCGGCTGCCATCCCCTGGCCACCGCC